GAAGTGGCGATATATGTTCCTCCAACTCCTCCTCGTCTTGTGTCGTTGGTGCTTCCTCCGGAGTTTTAGGGTCCTCCGTTTGTTTGCCACTCCGCGTTGTTATGGCCATGACGTTTTCCCTTGGATTAACTTCGGTTGTTGTGGGAAATCGCCCTTGTTCTCGAGTGCTTTTTCCTTGGGCAATTTGCCCAATTTGGACCTCCAAGTTGTGGATAGATGACTTGGTGTATTGTTCTATGTTGTCCATGCGTTGGTGAAGTTTCCGGTTTTGATCTTCAAACCGGAGGTCAAGCTTGGTGAATTGTGAGTGGAGATTCCCAATGGATGCCTCCACTCTACTATGATTCTCCTCATTTTGGGCTTTTACACTAGCCACCACATTTTGAGTGAGAGTCTTCATCATCTCCTCCATTGTTTGCTCTTTTTGCCCATGTGTAAACCCGGATGAGGGGTAAGAAGGACCTCCTTGTGGTTTACCTTGGTTAAACCTTTGTTGATTGTTGGAATAGTTGTTGCCTCCTTGGTACCCCCGATTCCCGTAAGAGTTCATATAATTCACATCTTCAAGAGTTTGAGGTGAATTACCTTCCGGTTGTGCAATATTCTCCACACTTGCTACTTGACTAGCTCCTCCAATCACGGCTTGAAGAGCCGTATGAATAGAGGCTTGAAGATCTTTGTGCATAGCTTGTTGAAAATCAGCAAACCGCTTGTCCAATTCATGAGCTATGGACACCTCACTCACACCGGCTAATTTGACATCTCCTCCTTGTAGTTGAGGATTGGAAGCAATGGATTCAAGGATTCGCAAAGCCTCCGTTTCAGTTTTGTTGCCAATATAGCCCTCCGCACGGTTATCTACAATGGCTTGGCATGAAGAGTTCAAACCATTGTAGAATGTATCAATTTGAAGATCAAGAGGAATGCGGTGATGTGGACATTCCTTCAACAAGGCTTTGAAACGCCTCCATGCGTCTTGGAATAGTTCTCCAACTTGTTGTTTGAAGTTGAAGATTCGTTGTCTTAGCTCTTGAGTCATTGTGGGTGTATAATACTTGGAAATGAAAGCATTATAGATACCTTCCCACGTTGTGAAAGTTGCCGGTGTTTGCTCCAAGAACCATCCCCTTGCTCCCCCTTTCAAGGTATAGGGAAAGCTTTTGAGTTTAAGATCATCCTCGGTGAGACCATGCCTAGGGATTCCTTGGATGAATCCATAGAACTCGGTGATGAAGTTTAGTGGATTCTCCCCCGGAAGGCCATGAAATTGAGGCATAGCATTGAAGTAGCTATTTTTCATTTCATAGTCCCGAGCCGCCTCGCTTAGGACGATACATGAGGGAGTTGCGGCAACCACGGGCCTCTTCCTTTCATTGAGTGTTGGCATCATCTTCGCCTTTCTTTCCTTCCGGTTGTGTTTGAGAGTTCTTTCTATTTCAAGATCAAGAGGTTCAAGATGTTTAGAACCTTGACTTCTCAAATGCATTCAAACACAAAGGATAGTCTACACACATGAAATGAAATGTACCCAAGAACAAGTGAAAAGCAATGGGAAATAAAAATTTCAGGATTTTTTTTGGTTGTTTTAACTCTATAATAACAAGCCGTATTTCCCCGGCAACGGCGCCAAAAACTTGATCGGGCTAAACTTGCAAGTATACAAGTGCCGATGTAGTAATAAAATACCGGTAAATACCGGGTCGATCCACAGGGAAATGGTTGATATTATAAAGTCGAGTATTGAATGCAAAGAATGTAAATGATATATTTTTTTAGGAACTTTGCTCTTTGAGATTGGTTTAAACAAGAATGAGAATTACTAAGGCAATCGGGATTCACCTAAATGCTTTAATATTTGTTTAATAATAGTTCTTCCCCAATAATCATGAATACGATGTCGCTAATATATTCTCAACTCCGGTTAAGGCAGCGAGAGCGTGGTTTTCGTTACGTGTAAGTCCCGTTACGGCTTACATTCATCTACCGAAAACCCCGTTGAATATCAAGACATCACACCCGTATCATATAAGACCGGATATATTTCTATTCTCGGTACTATATATGTTTATCCTTTAATGTTCATAGTTTAGACTTCAACGTTAATTGCAAGCATAAACTAAATTTAACATACTTCTATGTTGTACACCATAGTCATAAACAATCAAAATATAAAGGATAAATCACAATTTATTAGTTTAGAACTTTTATCAAACACCTAGTGTGCATAGAGGTTCATCCCTAGCCTTAGCTAAGAAATTAGCCTCTAATGCTCATATTAATCACAATACAATATGAAATGTAATGGAACATGAAATTACAAAGGAAATAATACCTAAACACCAATGGTTTCGGAGGTTGAAGTTTCCTTCTCAAGAACTTGAAGAAAATACCAAGAACAAAAATATAAAAGCTAAGAATTAATCTATGGAATGGAATGTCATTGCTTGATGAATTAAGGGCTTTATATAGGCTAAAGAATGGCATCTTTTAGTCTATTCAAGCCTAACAATCGGATATGGAAGCAATATTTGATCAGATATGGAGGAAGATGGGTTTTTCCCATCAGAAATCTTCTGCACGTCGGACTGTTTTAGCAAAAAATCGGAACAACCGGCGCCGGTTATAGCATGTCCGGCGCCGGTTGGGTGCAAAAATGCACCGGTTGTGCTGCGCCGGTTGGAAACAGGGCCGAATTGGGCAAAAATTCCTGACGACCGGCGCCGGTTATAGGGACTCCGGCGCCGGTCCCTGCGCCCAATTTTGTACTTCGCTTCTTTTCTTCGTTTGATGCCCGAAATTGATCCCGAAGTGCCGGTTTTCGATCCCTTTTGACTTTTGACCCTATTTTTATTGCTCCATGTCGTATTTCATGTTTCCGCTAACTCGAGAATATTTATCTGTTTTTGCTTCATATTTTTGTACAGATAAATGTAATTACTTTATGTAAAACATAAGTAATTATTGTGCTTATCACGTACTACTTGTCACGCACTACTTGCATTGTCAGACACAAGTGGGTAGGGAATCATTACGTTACTCGATGGATGGATTTCCTTTTATTGAAAGCCGTCGGATTGTTATCTTTTAAGATAAGCGTACTACTTGTCACGCACTACTTACATTGTCAGAAACAAGTGGGTAGGGAATCATTACGTTACCCATTGGATGGATTGCCTTTTCTTCACAACCATTGGATTCTTTTCTTTTGAGATAAGAGTACTACTATTAATATGAACAACTTAACACACCAGATGGATGATGCTTTAGCAATGAATACTATAACACAACTTGATGAAGAAGAAGAAATCATGATGGTGGCACTAAAAAACAACAACATGACAATAAGTCATTGTATTGGTGAGCTGAATACGCCTATTAGGCATGGTGGATCTGTTCATGGTCATGTGGTTATAGACCGTGATCGAGAAATGGGAGACCATAATTTGTTCATGGACTATTTCTCTCCAAATCCACGTTATGGAGAAGCATTATTTCGCCGACGATATCGTATGTCGCGAGATTTGTTCCTACAAATAGTTGGTGCTGTTACAAATCATGACAACTATTTCCACCAACGAAGAAATGCAACAGGTAGACTCGGATTATCAGCTTTACAAAAAATAACAGCTGTATTTCGTATGTTGGCATATGGTGTACCCGCGGATGCAACAGACGAGTACGTTAAAATAGGTGAGTCTACAACAATTGAAAGTATGAAAAGATTTTGTCAATCTATTGTCCAAATATATGGAGGCCAATATCTAAGAAGACCTAATGACAATGACATAGCGAGACTTCTTGACATTGGAAAACAACGTGGATTTCCAGGAATGTTGGGGAGTCTTGATTGCATGCATTGGAAATGGAAAAATTGTCCAACGGCATGGGCGGGACAATATTCTGGTCGTAGTGGCTCGCCAACTATCATCCTTGAAGCTGTGGCAGATTATGATCTTTGGATATGGCATGCATATTTTGGAATGCCAGGTAGTAACAATGATATTAATGTTTTAGAGGCATCTAATCTTTTTTCAGATTTAGCACAAGGAATTGCTCCTCCCGCTCATTATATTATTCAAGGAAAAGAGTATAATGTCGGTTACTATTTAGCGGATGGTATATATCCAAAGTGGTCAACACTTGTTCAAACAATTCATCAACCACAAGGTAGAAAGAAGAAATATTTTGCCATGAGACAAGAAGCATGTAGAAAAGATGTTGAACGTGCCTTTGGAGTATTGCAATCCCGATTTGCAATTATCGCAGGACCTTCACGTTTTTGGGAGAAAAAAGTCTTACATGACATAATGAGTGCATGTATTATTATGCATAATATGATAATAGAGAATGAACGTGATATACATGCACCGGTTCAAGATGTGAGAGATACACCCGTTCCAGATGTTGAAGTGGCAGTTGATGAGGTGGCACGTTTCACTCAATTTCTTAGCCGACATAACCAAATTCACGACAAAGACGCTCATATTGAGCTCCGCAATGCTTTAATTGATCATTTGTGGGAACAATTCTCAAATTCCGACAACTAAACTAAGAATGTTTATTTAATCTATTGCTTTAAGTTTAAGTAGTACTTTATTAATGACGTACAAATTATTATAATATTATTGTAATATTTAATTTTATGTGGTTTTAGCTTTTAATTGTGAAATATTGATTATTGTATTTTAATTAGTGAAATGCGTGAAAATACATATTAAAATGATGTATTTTAGTTTGTATGTGTGAAATAATGTGTTAAATGTTAAAATATTAAATGAGGGGCTAATGTATAAATATATGATAGTTAGATACTTAAATAGAAAAATGGTAAAAAGTTAGTAAAAAGAATAAAAAAAGAATATTCCTTTTTGGTGATGAAAATGGTGTAAACTGTTGGAGATAAAATACTGTTTGATATGATATTTACACCATTTTAGTGTAAAAAATGGCGTTAAGTGTTGGAGATAGTCATCTTCTCCCATCCACTCACGCGGATCACTCCACAGTCCTCCCTCATTCTTCTTCATGTCCGTTCGTACACCATTTCTCTGTCAATTCAAAAGCACAACAACACCACAAACAATGGCTGCATCTGCTTCCTACCTTCTCTGCGGCATTCCTTCCGCCTCCTCATCTTCTGCTACTTCCTCTTCCGGCAGGAGGGCACCTGCAACCAGCACCATCTTCCTCAATGCACCAACGCGTCGCCTCCGCCTCGGATTCGCAGCAGCCACTTCGGACTCGCTATTCTCACACTGTGTCTCCACCAAGCTCCGATCCCTCAAGACATCCGCCAAGCCAGCCAGGGGAGTCATTTATTCCATGGCTAAGAAAAGCGTCGGTGACCTCAATGCCGATGAGTTGAAGGGTAAAAAGGTCTTCGTGCGGGTTGATTTGAATGTTCCTCTCGATGAAAACCAGAACATCACTGATGACACTAGGGTTAGAGCTGCCGTGCCAACAATTAAACACTTGATTTCTAATGGGGCCAAAGTGATCTTATCCAGTCATCTGGTCAGTCACATTTCAAGTGCATCTTCTGCTTTTGTTATGATTTTCGGTAGCTTCAATTGGTTGTGGCAATTGGGTGGATGCATGATTTGATTACTGAAGACTGTTTTTTTAAACTATACTAAAAGTAAATCTATATGTGAATTAGAATAAGCCACACAGTTCAAATCTTTCATCATGTTGATAATTTTCACTTCCTTCGGTTCAAACACTGTTAAATCACTCTGCACATACCTGATTACCTGGTACCTGTACCTCTCCTATTTCTTTTATGTACTCAATATTTATTTAACTGTGTTTGATTAAAGCTTTGTCTGTATTAACTTGCTCTTTCTAACCACCACTTGTAAGATATCCCCAGATTTAGTACTTGGAATGAGTGAACTGTGCTACCCTTTGCTCTAATAAGTTGATTATTGGTTGTAGGGCCGTCCAAAAGGGGTCACACCAAAGTATAGCTTGAAGCCTCTTGTCCCTAGATTATCTGAACTCCTTGGCATTGAGGTTAGTTTTTTAGTCTCACTGCCTTCCATATTTCCCCTCCACATTTCTTTCTTCCCCCCCTAAAAAGACATCTTTTTTATGGCTTAACAATAGGTCAAGATGGCAAATGACTGTATTGGTGAGGAAGTCGAGAAATTGGTTTCTGAAATTCCAGAGGGTGGTGTGTTGCTTTTGGAGAATGTGAGGTTCTACAAAGAGGAAGAGAAGAATGATCACGAGTTTGCAAAGAAGCTTGCTGCCCTTGCGGATTTGTATGTTAATGATGCATTTGGAACTGCCCACAGAGCTCATGCATCCACAGAGGGAGTGGCCAAGTACTTGAAACCAGCTGTAGCTGGATTCCTTATGCAGAAGGTATAAGCATTTCAATGGAGGATAAGTATTTCAATGGGGGGCGTGGGTGGTGGTATTTTAGGGAATTGATATTGTAGGATATTACTGCAATTGCCACTTTTAAGTGTTCCCCATAGGGTGCTTACTAGATTTGTGGCTAACATAAAAGCATATTGTAAATCTTACCTCTTCAAAATCATTTTGGGCTGATTTAAAACTGATTTAATATGGTATGTTTGACTCATATACCATTCCTCAAGTTGCTAAGCCTGGTTTGTATTGAACTATCCAATTTTGAGTGAGCTAGAACTAATTTAATAACTACAACCTTGCAGATATTGTCATATGTTATATTATGAGCCACTAAAAAATATTCCTTTCATTTTTTCTGTTGCCTCCCCTTAGGAGCTTGACTATTTAGTTGGAGCTGTGAGTAGCCCAAAGAAGCCATTTGCTGCCATTGTTGGAGGTTCAAAAGTATCCACCAAAATTGCTGTGATTGAGTCCCTGCTGGAAAAGGTTGACTTGCTATTGCTGGGTGGAGGGATGATTTTTACTTTCTACAAGGCTCAAGGATACAAAGTTGGATCCTCGCTCCTGGAGGAAGACAAGTTTGAGCTAGCCAAATCCCTCATCGAGAAGGCCAAGTCTAAGGGAGTCTCATTACTGCTTCCTACTGATGTTGTGGTTGCAGACAAGTTTTCTGCCGATGCCAACAGCAAGGTTTCACTCACTTCTCCCTTTATTCTACAGCCCGTTTGTGTTTGAAAATTTCTATGGAAATAATCTGGAAGAAAATGAAAAGCGGAAAGAAAAACTATGGAAAATAGTTTTGATTTTTTGGGGGTTCAAACTCAGTTAGGCACTTGATTTAAATATTTTGCAAACTCAGTATATTTATACGGAGTATGTTATTTTATACCTGTTGTATACTTGTATAAAGACCAAGCAATTTAAATACATGTGAGGTTTTTGAAGAGTTTTAATCAAATTCCAAGGTAAAAAACCCGAACATGGCCTAATACATATTCGTTTAAAGAAGTTTTAGGTGTAAATAAACAGGGTTATTAAGTAATTAGTAAATGTGATAATGATAAGGGTTGGAATTAATCTCAGGTGGTTAGCGCAACTGAAATTCCAGAGGGGTGGATGGGGTTAGATGTGGGACCAGACACAATCAAGACATTTGGTGAAGCTTTGGATACCACCCAAACAATCATATGGAATGGGCCAATGGGTGTTTTTGAGTTCGAGAAGTTTGCTGCTGGCACGGAGGCAATAGCAAAGAAATTGGCAGAGCTTAGCGGGAATGGAGTGACAACAATTATTGGAGGCGGAGACTCAGTTGCAGCAGTTGAGAAGGTCGGGTTGGCAGAAAAAATGAGCCATATCTCGACAGGAGGTGGTGCTAGTCTGGAGCTGCTCGAGGGGAAATTACTTCCAGGTCTTCTTGCACTTGATGATGCTTGAAAGCAACAGCAGCTGTTCACTTCCTCCTGGATGCTCTTTGATTTCTATTCCTTGCACATAAACATAAATCTTAATCAATAATGAATCTTTAAAATACAAAACCAAACTCCAGATTGTAAGCTGCAGCTTCTTTGGATCATTTTAAGTTCAAGGAATCATAATTGGGCATCAATGCACATGAGTTTACTTCAACACTGGTTTCAGTTTTTCACTTGATATGGACGTGTGTATTAATTTATAATGATGATATGAATTCTACTTGCTCAAAAAAATTAAAAGGCTTAAGGGTCAAATAGGTATATGAACTAACTTAAAGTGCTCAATTAGCCCCTTATATAGGAGGTTCTGCCTGGTCGTCGCCAATTGGGGCGGTTCCTGGTGGAATTTTTTGATGAAATTTTTTGAGCATCTTCTTCCTTAAGTTTAGTTTACCCATACCAAATTTTAGCTAAAAATTCAACCGGGAAGGCAGTCAAATGAGTTTTAGAAGATAACTGCGTAGTACATTTCGGAAAATCATTTGACTGCCTTCCCGATTTTATTTTTAGCTGAAATTTGATATGGGTAAACTAGACTTAATGAAGAAGATGCTCAAAAAATTTCATCAAAAGATTCAACCGGGAACCGCCCCAATTGGCGACGGCCGGGCAGAACCTCCTATATAAGGGGCTAATTGAATACTTTAAGTTAGTTCATGTACCTATTTGACCCTTTAGCCAAATTAAAAATGCGAAATTCCTTGTTAAATCATTCTTTCCTCCTATTGATTTTCAATGTGGTTGGTGCTCAAAAAAACAACACCAGTTCTTGGGCTGTCCTTCAAAATGGAAGCAGAATATGGGCTTTTATAAAGGGACAATTCAAACTTAAAAGAAGTAAACAACTTAGAAATATGACCAAATACCATTCACTGTTAATTCTTGCCCAAAGGCAGCAAGTCAACAACTGGTCAATCGATTACAAGTATGAATTTCTTGTTTAAGGCTTGACCGGCAAGCCAAAGAGTTTTGTCCGATGGAGAGGAATATACGGTTTCCGGAGGATTAACGACATTGATCACTCGGCTTGTACACGGGTGGAGCCTAATCATTTTGGGGAAGAGCCTGAATATTAGTTGAGGCTAAACCCCGAAAGTCACTAGGTAAATCACCCTGAAGAAAGCTGCACGTTCATATTGACTATTGTGGTTACTATTATTTTCTCATCATCTCATTCTAGCCTTTAAACTTTACATACACCAAGTAACTGTGCTATTAATTTCTGAGAAGAGTATATTAGAATGGATGGAGGTGAACGAAATGAGTATACATGTTGTGAAGAAATATGAAATTTGTACTTTCATATAACGAATTAGAATGGACATTCAGTATGAGACTTCTGTTTTGCAACTAAATCTTTTACTTATTAGACCTTTTTAGCCTTATTAAATACACATGATCCTCAAACGATATATACTCCGTATTTGTAAAAGGTATAATAAAGAATATATAGTGAATACCATATAAATTTACTACTTCATGGTAATGACACTGGAACATTATACTCCCTAATAGATAATCAGGTCATCCTAGCACATCTTAGTGCCGGCCTGCCAGGTGTATATGATATTAAACATGTAACAATCATATTATTATTTCTTCAAAATATAAATTTTATGAATAAAATGACAATATATCATCTTCCCGATTGCATAGTTCTTTTCTATTGAGAATTATATTTATGGAAGCTAACATAGGCCGATAGTATAAGGATGTTTTTACTTGAGCTGTAATTTGCTGGTCTGGTATGATCTATTCTGTTTAAATCTGGTCTGGTCTGATAAACGTACGGTCTGGTTTGTATTTTATAACTACGGAAGTCTGGTTTGGTCTGTTTAAGTCTGATATGATCTGATCTGGTTTGATCTGGGACTGAAAACAGTCCAAGTAAAAACATCTAACATACATTTATCATGCTTATACAATTTATCATAGTACATTGTGATTTGAACTAATATAACTAATTTGAACTGATCACGTTTCCTTAAATTCTTAAATTAAGAATAAATGACCGATGAGCATAGCTCCTGGTAGATAGAAGTGTCACATGGGGTAAGTCTCGAGTCTCGTGAGAGGTTACTATGCTAAAAATGCATATGACCTCTACAAGTACCAGCGTCAAAGTCCTATTCTCTATCTGTCAGCTTGTAATTAAAGTCCAATCTTACATCCTCCTATCTAACTGTGTCGTCCTGTTGGGGGCCCTGAGAATCGGGTGTCATCAAGAGCGTCTAACTCTAACGTCATGTTTGGATTGAGTGTTAGCGGGTATTAGTAATGGAAGTGTTGAAGAGTGTTTAGTTGAACACTTGTTTGGAAGAAAAATTAAAAAAAATCTAGAAGTGTTAGTAAGTGTTTGAAGGTGTTAACAATAACCTTCATAACATCTGTATTAATCACTTTTGTAACACTCCAAATTGGGGTGTAATGAAATGTTAGATGACTTTTACCCTTCTTATTCCAAAATCCATCCATTCCCGTCCTCTATTATTTCTCCCGCAGCAAAGAGCCAGACGGTACTCCTTCACTCCTGCGGCTCCAGCAAAGACTGGTTTCCTTCTCCAGATTTGTCATTTTCCCCCCTAATTTTCTTCATCTTTTTCCCATTTATCCACTCAGTACTTGTTATTCAGATTCGATGTGTTCTCCCACCAATATATATGAATATATATTGTTATTGACGAGGTGTTTTCTTGTTCGATAGATTCCTTCTAAGGGAGATTTACCTTAATAGGATCAAAACATGACTTTTTTCTCAAAATAGGAGTACCTAGTTTAAACATCCTTATAGGACATTTTATTAGTGATTGGACCAAAATACCCCTCACAACCTTTACCATTGCTGCCCAGGTACTGCCAGACCGGCGACGGCGGCCGCCGCCGCCGCCTCCTGCCGCCGCCGCCGCCTCCTGCCGCCGCCGCCGGAAAAATTCCAGATTTTTTTTCTGGAGGTTTGCCAACATTCTGCCGCCACCTGCCTCCGGCCGGCGGCGCCGCCGCCGCCGCTGTAAACCGCCTCTTCCGCTGCCGCCAAGCTGCCGCCACCTCCGGACTGCCCCGCTACCAACGGTCTGCCTTGGTTGTGCAAGAGAACTAGGGGGGCAATTAATTGGGTTAATTAATTGCCGGAGTTGCCACCGCCGCCGCCGGCCGCTGCCGGAGTGCTGCCGCCACCACGGACTGCCCCGCCACCGACGGACTGCCTTGGTTGTGCAAGGAAACTAGGGGGGCAATTATTTAGATCAATTAATTAATTAAATAAAATTAGGGATGAAAAAGGTAAGGTTAGTCCTATTTAGAGAAAAACATGCATGCAGTCCTATTTTGAGAAAAAGGTTGAATTTTAGTCCTATGTTGGACAATTTTTTCTCCTTCTAACTGGTGTTTGATGATCTTATGATTTGGTTTTTAGAATTCTCTACCTTTTGTTTTCATTTATTATTATTCCGTTGGTGGATGTCGTTTTCGTTCTGTTTCATCTTTGCTGGAGAGTCCTTTTTAGTTTTAACTTCACCTTTTTTTATATGGTTGGAAATCAATGCGTAGGAAAAGGATAACTCTCGAAATAGGACTAAAACAGTTTGAAAATTTCAAAATGAAACTGTCATGTTTTTTATTCTCAAAATAGGAGTAGTTACTGTCAAGGTTGGAAAATACTGTCATTCTTAGGTATGGTACTGCCAAAACATGACAATAATTAGTCATATTTGGGGAATAAAAGCATGACAATCCTATTTTGGAATTTTCAAACCTTTTTAGTCCTATTTCGGGTAATATTCTCTTATTATATCCAATAATTCTATTGAGCTAGAATCTAATACTAGTAGTAGGAAAACAATACGTAGTATATCCCATTGGAGGATGGCTGGCATATCAATCGCAATCTCATGTTTTTTAGCACTATATTACCTCCATTCTTAAATAAATGCAACATATAAAATTTTACACTATTCATATGTTCAACTTTGACTACGTTTTATTTATCAATGTATTAATATTATTTTATGAAAAAAATATTATTAAATTTGTCTCATTGTAAATTTTCAAAATCTATTTTTTTTTAAATTTTTTATACTAATACGAAATTATATATATTAATGGTCAAAGTTGTGTCTCGGCAAGTGTGAAATGTTGACCGTTGCACTTATTTAAAAACGGAGGAACTATTAGACTTATTGTAAACACTTCAATTTTAACCCTTTCATTACTAACACTTCCATTTTTTTTAGCTCCCCCAGCCCAGGTAAGGTTATGCTAATACTTAGGACACATTTACTTCACGGGTTACTAAACGGTGCTTATTAAGACCCGCGTTAATAAGCGGCGCATAAAATAAGCAATGTTGTAAGATCATGTTTATTTCAAAGGGTTTAAAACACCGTTTAACATTAAAATGTCCAAAATAACCTTACATATATATAGACGCACAAACTTTCATGAACACAAGTACTACGTATATAATATAAATGTATAATATGTGGGGTCACCTCGTACGTGTACCCGTACCCCTAACCCCTTTACCCCGCCCTATACCCCACGTACCCACCCCTACCCCTACCCTACCCCCAATTCCACACCCTTGACCCCTACCTACCCTTACCACGATAAGGGGTAGGGTGGGGTCGAGATCGGGGTGAGGCCGAGGTAGGGGCATGTTGTGGGGGGATGGTAGGGGGTAGGATGCCCCACCTCGGCCCCACCCCAATCCATAGCTACCGCCACCCCTACCACCCCGACCCCACCCCGACCCACCCGACCCCCTAGCTCGACCCCACCCTGCCACCATCCCACCCTACCCCCTACCACATCCCCTACCTCGACCCCACCCTAACCGCCATCCTACCCTACCTTACATCGACCCCACCCCTACTCTACCTTACCCCGACCCACCCTACCCACCTTACTCCGACCCCACCTACCTTACCTCGACCCACCCTACCCTACCCTACCATACCTCAGCCCCACCCTGATCCCGACCCCACACTGTCGACATCTACCCCTACCCTACCCTGACCCCCGACCCCACCTCCCCTACCCTACCTTACCCCGACCCCACCCCACCCTTACCCCTAACCACGACCCTACCCCACTCCCTATCACTTGTCCCTATCTCGACCCCAGCCCGCCCACCCCTCACAACCCCTAACCCTGTGGTAGGGGTGGGGTAGGGTCGTTGTAGGGAAAAGGG